TGGCTTCAAATTTAGATCCTCTTGCTTCAGCCTTTTGAGTCACTGGGATTACAGATGTGCACCACTGCACCTAGCTTCCAGGAAAGGTATTTCAGAGTAGGTGACACTTATTCTCAGGCTTGGATCACAAGACAGCAGACACCAGGTTCATCTTGCCCCCCAGAGAAACTTGGTGCCCATAAAACACTCAGCAAATCCTTGTTAAATGATAGAAGAATTACACAGAATGCAACCCCAACCTTACGTGTAGGAATTACCCTGGGTTTTTTGTTTTTTGTTTTTTTCTTTTTCCCAGAGTGTCTCATTGACTGCAGTTGCCATTCTTGAGGCTCTTCTGTGCCTAATAGCAAGCTCAGGACTTTCTTTAGAAGCTCTTGAGTGAGTCATTATTATGCCACCTGGTAGGAGAGGCAGCTGGGCTAAGCAGGACACCAGCCCTTGCCTGTTGAACATATAGCCCCACTGTCCTAAACACATTGTCCTGCTTTCCCCAGCATCTTGTGTACCTTTTTGGGCAAGTATTGCTATTCCCTCTTACAAAATAAGCTCATGTCCAAGGTGGACTCACAGTGCAGTTAAGTTTAGAATCTCAGATCCCTGACTCCTCTTCTGTTTGCCTTTATGACCAAGCAGTTTAGCTTGGACCCTTGATGTTGTTAAAAGTATCTGTGACCACTTAGGGGTGTTGTGCCAAGAACTGGCTGTTATGAGAAATATATAATCCATAAGATACAGCTAATGGGATTGCTTTTAGAAAGAAAATAGGGTCCTAAAATAGGATCAGTGTTATTTCAGGGGGTAGTGAAAACTGTTGAGCTGAAAATGTTATGTTTTATTCTGTTTGTTTTAAAACTTCTTCCATTGAAGACTTGAAAAAGCAGCCTCGTTTGTAAGATTCTCCAAGAGCTGATTTGTTTCAGCATAACTTGGGTTTTTTGCCAAGCTCTGTTCTAGCACAGTCACCTGACATAAAAGATGTGATCTAGCTATAGAACATCAGATTTGTTGGCTCTTCTCTCTGGGAGCTAGACCCCCGTGATAAACTAGTTGTAGTTAATGAAGGCAAAAATTAAATTGTCTTGACCTGAATAAGTTGGAGAGAGAACCAGAGAACCATACATTAGGCTTTGGATTTGACCCCTATGAGTCTATCCTTACTGTCTCTTGATTTAAACGTTAAGTAGTTTTTAGAATGTACATTTCAGACCTTTTTTTTTTTTTTTTTTTACCCTGTTGGGGCTTATCCATATTGGAGATCTAAGTCCGTTTGCATGTCTATTTTATTATGAATAGTGACTCATATCCAGTTGCTTCCTGTTCTGGTGCAGCCTATCTTATGCCATAGCAATTTATTCTTGACCAAAAATACCATGTTTTTCCCGTTGGATTTCTAAGAAATACCAACCTGAAGTTTCAGGGGGACTTCCACTCTTGTCCAGCATGCAAGACCCTCCAGAATGGGCTTCCAGCCAGCCTTTCCAAGCCATGTTGGCAAAGAGCTGAAAGAGTAGTTATCTACAGGCATACAGAAAAGATTGGTTTTAATTTTATTTTATCTGTGCACGGCTACAGCTCAGAATCAGAACAAGGAACCAATTGGATCGGTTCCACTAGTTAACTGCAGAAAGCAGGACCACCAAGTCGGCCTCCTATGCAGAGAGCTGGGTTCGCCATGGATTTGGGGGAGCACGGCTTCCAGGGGCAAACGCAGTTATACCAGTGGGGCTGTCTTCGATTGGCTGGCGTTCGGGGGCATTGTAGTAAGGCAGTTGTTGATTGGCTCGTTCACCAAAGCGCCCTCACTGGAGTTAGGCCATCATTGATTGGTGGACTTCTAGAGTGAGGCGGTTGTTGATTGGCTGGTCTCGGAAGCCATTTTTTATTGCTAAGAGGCCATTATTCATTAATAAGAATAGGGTTAGATCCCGCTGCGAGGGCCAAGGAACAGTCCCTAGATGCTAGGGTTAGGGTTAGGGTCATTCCCAAGTGTCCTAGAATCTTAGATTTCCTGGGTGGGAATAAGCCTGCTGTACAGACGGGACTTTAGGCCTCCCAGCCCCCCACCCCCAGAGGCGAGCTCCTTCCCACAGATCTGGGAGCAGCAGACCTGGGCTCCAACCCTGGCTCTGTCCTTGCACAAGTTACTAAATCCCTGAGATCCTCAGTCTCTTACAAGACGGCACCTCTCTGACTTCAAACTGCAGGTGTGCAGTGTTCTCAGAATTAAACAAGTTGAAACATCATTTTCTGAGTTTTCCTAAACCAAAGGAACATTCCTCCCCCATTGCCACTGGCAGTGTGACCCCTGCGATGCAAACTTGAGTCCAGTGAACTTGGTTTTCACCTTCTAAAGCCTGACAATCACTTGGAAGGTTCTGATTGGCTGGTGGTAGAGGTCAGGCAATGCTATATTTTATGTTCCTATGTGACGTACAGTATGCATTGAATTGGATTGTCCCAAGCAACTCCTTATTTGCTGATCATGTAGAAAAAAATTTTTTGATAGCCTTTGTTGCCTAGATTATGATTGGTTTCATGTGATGGGCTGTTATTGTCAAAAACTATTTTAGAAATTGTGTAATTAAGAAGCATAGATAACAAAAGTGTCTCTGGTTTAGACATAAGTGTTGTATAAACTGCCCTCTTGGATATTATGTACATATGTGTAAGATTTACCTTTCTCTTTCCCAAAAAGTTTGTTATCTCCAAATTTGGAAGTTGACCTATGAAAGAGATTATATGTTATTTATAAATGTCTTTAGTACAGTGTCATATCATTTAAAAATGGTAGTATCATAGGTTCCCTCCATAATCCTGAGCTCGACCCTATAAGACAGTGAGAACTCATTGAGGAGGAAATGAGGTTTATTGAGCATCTTTTCTTTATTCCTTCCTTCCTAAGTTTTGGGAACTGTCTAGACAGTGGAAGGACTGAATATTGATTTTTTTTCTCTTGAAAGAACACTCACCCATCTTTTACCTAACACATGAAGTTGCTGAAAATATATTCATTTAATTTATTCTGACATATTTTTGGTATTTATTGCTTCCCATATTGACTTTACTAGATACATAGTATTTTTATTGCCTTAATTTTGGAGTACTTTCATATTATGTTCACTTTTGGTGTTGGATATCTTATGTCTTGACAAATGCATAGTGACATATGTCCACTCTTATAGTGTTAAATAGAGTAGTTTCACTGCCCTAAGAATTCTCTGTCTTTGCCTACTCACCCCCTCCCCCAACCCTGGTAACCACTGATCTTCCTACTGTCTCCAGAGATTTGCCTTTTTCAGAATGTCATATAGTTGGAATTGCTATTCATGACATTTGTTAAAGGACTGTAAGGCAGACTTTATTTATGATGACAACACAGTGGAATTTTGCATTGAGGAAAGAGATTGGGTTCAACTCTAATAAAAACCACGAAAAGGCCTGGGGATGTAGCTCAGTAGGGTAGAGCACTTGCCTCACACGTATGAGGCACAGGGTTTGATCCTCAGCACCACATAAAAATAAATAAAGATATTGTTTCCATCCACAACTAATATATATATATATATATAACCAAAACAGGAAAAGTTGAGCACGTATGGTTAAAGGGGCAAGAAAATTACTAAGAGGAAACTTTGTGGGAAAGGTGGGGTTCTGGCTTAATGGACCTAAAAGAATTCTTGCTGAAACAGGCCAGGGCAATCAGACATCATATGGAGAAAGGGGGAAGATGAAGATCCTGATCAGAAAGTGAAGGTGGGAGGTTCTGTGAAGATCAGCTCAGCAGGATTCTTGCTAACACTGGGTGATACAAATATAGATATAAATATATAAAAGTCAAGGCCTATTGGGAAAAAGATTCAGAGGAGCCTGACCACAGTGTGATCCGTGAAAGCCTGTCAGAATCATCTAGTATGCAGGCTTCACAGATTGGCATCCTTCACCTAGTGAAAAGCATTTACTGTCTTTTATTTTTAAATATTTATTTTTTGGTTTTGGTTGCACGTGGACACACAATATCTTTATTTCATTTTTACGAGGTGCTGAGGATAAAACCCAGTGCCTCATGTGTGCTAGGCAAGCACTCTACCACTGAGCCACAACCCCAGCCCACATTTAATGTCTTTTTGTGGCTTGACAGCTTGTAATTTAGTGCTAAATAGTATTCCATTGTCAGTATATACCTCAGTTTTATATATATATTCACATGCTGAAGGACATCTTTACGACTTCTAAATTTTGGCAGTTATGGATAGGGCTTCCATAAACATCTCTGCTCAGGATTTTGTGTGAGCATCGTGTTTCAAGAATAATTTACAGGGAAGTTGTAAAAATAGCACCGAGCGTTCCTGTATACCCTTTGTTTAGTTTCCACTAATGTTGTAATGTTCCACTTACGTTAACATTATATTAACTTTTCCACTTATGTTGCACTGACAAAACCAAGAAATTAACGTTGGTATATTACTGTTACCTAGACTTTATTCAGATTTCACCAGTGTTTGCACCACTTTCCTTTTTCTGTTTCATGATCCAATTCAGGATACCACATTGCTTTAACACTGCATTTTCAATTTAATTTCTCAGAGTAGTTTGGGTGGGTTATATTTATTAAGTGCATTCGTGACCTCAGCATGTACCCAGAAAATGAATGTGAACTTATCAGCTATGAGGAGGTAGAGTTATTTAATTCAGTGAGCACATTTAATAATAACATTGTTATTTAGAGTGATTTGCAAGCTTGTGTTCGGTTTTGGTGGAACATGCAGGATTCCCAGTGTTCAGCAAGCAGTAGCGCAGGATTTCTTTAAGCTTGCCTTTTTAAGCAAAATAGTAAAGCTTGTGGAAAGAAGGTCATTTCAAGGTTGAGGCCTTCCATATCCTGGAGAAAACTGGTGGCAGAGCTGTAATAAGAGCTGTCATTGCCTGATTTTTCAAGTTGGTCAAAGGATAAAGTGTTCGGGTGGTCCTCTAATGAGTGTCTCCAAATGTTTTGCTGGCAGAAGGACTCCATGAAAGATGACAGAAGAAGTCATTGTTATAGCCAAGTGGGACTACACTGCCCAGCAGGACCAAGAGCTTGACATCAAAAAGAACGAGCGCCTGTGGCTGTTGGATGACTCCAAGACGTGGTGGCGGGTGAGGAACGCAGCCAACAGAACGGGGTACGTGCCATCCAACTACGTGGAGCGCAAGAACAGCTTGAAGAAGGGCTCCCTGGTGAAGAACCTCAAGGACACGCTAGGTGAGTGGCCCACGGGTGGGAACCCCATCTCAGCCAAGCCACTGCCTCAGTGGAGAGCAGGAGATCTTGTGCACTTCAAGGGAAGATGTTTCCTCTTTCTGATCGTTTGATTTTGTTTTTTTAAAAAGATTTGTTTGAAATGTTGACATCTTCCTAGTTGCCTTTTCTGAAATCTATTAGAACTAAGAGATCAAAATGGAGAAATATGTTGTGTGTCATTTCCTGGAGATTTTAGAGTTTGGAGTGTTATGTAAACTGACACTTCTGGGCTTTGGACCCTTGCACAGGTATCTGTCTCCCTGCATCAAAATTCCAAAGGACACTGAAGTGGAATTACCACCTCCAAAAGTGTCCTCAGGGCTGACTCTGTCATTGTTTCCATCACATCTTCTCTGTCCTACAAAATTCCATCCATTTGGCTTTTAGGCCTAGAGAAGGAAACAGCAGAAGTGTTCTCCCTCTTGGAGATTGATGGTGTTTCATGGCACAGTCCCAGGCACTGTTGCTTAAGGGGGCAGCTAAGGCAAGTAGCAGTGTGATGTCCGTGGGATAGGTCCAGGAGCTCAGTTCAGTTACCACCTTACCTGGTTCTCTGTCTTCATGCTGCATCCTTCCCCTGCTGTGTTAGTCTGTGTTATATCACTATAATGAAATAACCTGAGGCTATGTAACTTTTATTTTTTAAAAAAAGAGATTTAATTTGGCTCTGAGTTTGTGGTACAGGTTGAAGGCTGGATCTGGCACAGAACATCACATGCCATGAGACAAGAAATGTGTGCATACATGCACCTGTGAGTGTACATGCACTTTTTGTGTGTGTTTTCTAGTCTGTCTTATAAGGTCACCAGGATTCAATCATGGGGCTCCACCCTAAGGAATCTGTCTAATCCTAATCAGCTTTCAAAGGTCCCACCTTCTAAACACCATGGTAGGATTAAGTTTCCACCCTCCTAATACCATATTGTGCGGATTAAATTTCAAAGACAGATCCTTGGTGGCCGTAGTCAGACTACATCTAAATCCCATCACTGGGGTGAGGACGTGGGAACTGCCATTTCCCATTGTGTGACATGGATGATGTCTAACCTTACCTTTGTGTGCACATTGGACTTGCTTGCAGTAGTTATTGCTTCAGGTTATCTAAGAAAATAATTGTGAGGGCTCTTTTGAAGAATAACTGATCTGAGCTGACATTTTAAAACCCATCGTTACCTCCTTAAATGAGTACAGAGTTGTACTGATACTGCTAGGTTATCACTTACAGGCTGGCTATTGAAATAGTATTATCACCTGTACAGCATTTATTTAGGTCTTTCTTTTTATTTCTAACAAATGGATTTACTTCATTTTGAGGGGGATAGTAAGGAATACATGGGAAAATTGAAAAGAAAATGATACACCAAATGTCATCAGTGTTGCAAAATGTTCATCTTTCATTTTCCGCAATCTTGGAAAGTCTGAGCTCTCTGTTGAGAATCATTTAAAGTCTTCATTTATTGGATAGTGTTTTTGTGTTATGGTTTTTCTCATGCTTTGGAGAGAGAAGTGAGATGGAGAGCTTTGTGTGAATCACACCAGGTTACTGGCCATCAGATTGTGAGCCTTGTGTAGAAATTCCATTTTTTCATTAGGAGTCTGTTTTTTTCCAATGAACTCTCTGCCCTTTGTCATTTTTTTTTTCTTTTCTTTTTTGTCCTAAGCATGGCATATGAAAGAAGCACTCTTCCCACATTTGTGACTCTTTTCGGGGGGCTTGACCACTGAGCCACAGCCCCAGCCCTAGTTTATATTTTATTTACAGACAAGGTCTCACTGAGTTGCCTAGTGCCTCGCTTTTGCTGCGGCTGGCTTTGAACTCACAATCCTCCTGCCTCAGCCTCCCGAGCCATTGGGATTACAGGTGTGTGCCACCGAGCCCAGCTCTATTTGTGACTCTTAATTAACTCTGTGGTAAAGAAATGATGGCAGTAGGAGTAGATAAATACTTTAAGATTGTTTAGAGCTTAATTTTATTTATTTTTTCCAATTTTAGCCTCTCACAAAGTACCTTCCTCTGGTGGTCCTAGACATTATTGGCTTATTTTGTTTTATTGTTCTTTTATTTTTTTAATCTCAGGATCCTAGTAAAACATGAAATGCCAAGAAATTGGTAGGCAGTAGAATAAGGCAAGGCATGCCCCTCTGGGTTATCTGGAAGTTCTTTTTGAGCAACCCATCATTTCCCTTCTTGGGTTTCTCAGGACAAAAGATAAGCTCACAAATTAAAGCTGTGGGTCTGCACCCTCTCCCCAGTGTGTTTAGTTTGCCCTGAGATGTGATCAGTTCAACACGCCTATGTACACCCAGGCTCTCAGACTGGATTCACAAGCTCGGCTTCAGGCCTGGTGCTGGCCAGCTCCACTGTCCCTGACAGATGGCCACCCAGCTCTGCTGGAACACTTAGACTTCTAGAGTCAGCCAATTCCATTTTTGGAGAACGAACGCAGATTGTTAGAAAGCTCTTCCTTAAATAGAATCAAATTTTTGCATTTCTTTAACTTCCTCCCTTTGGCTCACATTGTGCCCTCTAGGGCTGAGCTGAGCAAATCTCTTTTTTAGAGTGACAGCTGTCCTATGGGCTTCTGTCTCGTTTCAGGCGCACAGTTCTTTGGAAACATTTGTGTTAAGCATTATGTATTGTAAAAATACAGACAGAACTATGTTTTGACCATCTATGTTTATTAGTATCCATTGATATTTATAGCCTCAAGTCCCTTGGGGTCAGTACCCCATCATCAGGGAAAAGTAGCCCCATATTTAGTGTGTTTCTCGTTTGTGACTCTTTTGGGGGGGCTTTATCATGCTCACCGAAAGCTTGCTATTTGTTGATGACAAGGGACTTGTTATTGCTGTATGAGTTTTTCATTAGTCCTCTTTGAAGCAGGATCAAGTGGAAGGGGAGGCCCCCTGACCCGAAGTCCCCATGTGGAGTGACTTCTTTCTTCATACCCTGACTTCCACACAAAGCTTGAGACAAGAAGGAAGGTTGAAACCTTTCTGTAAATCCCTTGCCCCCTAGTAATCTCTTTTGCAAAGATTGAAGCTAAAATATTCACAGATTCCTGTTTAAGTATTGTCACCAATGTACCCTCAGAATGACAGTGTGATTTTTTTTTTTTAATAGACCACTTGTGCAGAGAGCAGAAATGATCTCCTCATACATTGGGAATAAAAGCAACATTGAGAACCATCCTGCATACTCCAAGCTTCTATTATCTACTCATGGTGTCGTCCACATTTGCTTCATGGGAATCCAACTGATACCAAAATCCATGGTAGGATTTCCCTGGCAGACCCATGATTTGGAATAAGAAGCTCTGGACACCCCCCTACACACACAAACACACACACACACACAAAGTCACAGTGTTATGTTATAGTAGCAGATGATGGCAGCCCTGTACAACTCCCTCCTGCTCTCTTGTACTCAGTGACTGAGCTGAAGTTGGTAATGAACTTAATTTGTTACTTACAATACTTTGTTAGAGCAACTTGATAAAAGCAGTACCTTTAACAAAAAGATCTCTCTCTGACAAAAACCATTAACATTCTTTTCCTTTAATAATTTATCATTGAATAAAACAATATGAGCTCTTATTTTTATACAGGCAAAACATTTGCACACTGAATCTCTTCTCATATTCAGCTTATGATCATGAATAGTCAAGAGAACTTTTCCACAGATGACAAGGAACAATTGTCAAGAACAATTTCTGTGAGCAGAATCCACTCGATATCTTGAAGGGTGCAGACTGCATAGGGCTGAGCTCAGCAGTGGGCGGTCCCAGGCTACCAGCTGGCCTTGACAGTACAACTTAACTTATAAAATCCTGTGAGCTGTGTGTTGTAGAAGCACCATGCCAGATCTTTTGAGGTGGAAAGATGCTCCCAGAGAGGTATTTTTCAAAGACTTCCTTGAAAGTTACTGAACAGCAGTTTTTAATATCAAGCTGATACTAGCTGGAGTCCACCACAGTCCTAAAGGCCAATTCTCTTTTCAATGGCTCACTTGGGTTCCTGGGAATGACCATAACCAGGAAGTTCCAGTTCCATTTATAAGCTAATGGTATCTTCCTCGGGAGGGTTTGCTCAGAAGCACACATGCCCACTGCTCAACACCTCTTTGATGTCTGTAGCCAAAACTGACCTTCTCTGGTGGTTGCTGGTCTAGCATCTACTCCAACGTGACCATCAATAAGGCCAATAGAAGCCCCCCAGAACTCCCACCCCAGTGATTCCAAGCCAGACCCTGGAGCACAGACAGGCTGCTGAGACGGGCACCCTAGTGGTTGCCCACTTTTAAAAAATAGCCTTTGTACTGGTTTGAGCTTCGCTTTTGGACCCAGAATCGGGCAGTTTCTGTGGGAGAAGTTGATACAGTTATCAGAGGTTGGGTTTGACTTTGGCATTGAACTGATCAAAAATGCAAAGGAGTACAGCTGTTTGATTCCATGATAGGAAGTCCAAAAATAGCTACAGCAAATCCTTGGTATTAAAGTCAAGATTACTCTGCTCTGAGGGGAGGAAGGTTGTGCCTGAGGGGGCACAAGGGTCTCTCAGTGGTGGTGTTGCTCTGCCCTTGGATCCACCTGGCAGGTTCGTGGACACACCTCCTGACTGAATACATAAGCTATATGCTTATATCTGTAGCTGCATTTCTTCTGTTTTTAAGAAACTTGCTTCAGGAGAGTATCAGTTCAAAACACCACCACAAGATAAGGCGGTTCAAGTTGCCTTTTTGTTGGGAAGAGGGAAGAAATGAACACACACATGCCCACACACACTTTCTCTCTCGAAAAAGAGGTTCACAGTAGGATGGCTGCTATGTTAAGTCTAATGGAGGCAGAGGAGGGACAGAACCCACAACTGCAGGGAAATCCTATACAGAAGGAAGTTTCCAAACCCAGACTCTAGGAGGGCTCAGAGACTGCTGAGCAGGGAAGATGTCTTTCAGGAAGTGA